GACAAAAATATTATGACAGAACTATGGTTTTTGCATCAGGTTTTAGTGGTTCCAGAAATATATTATAATCACTCGATTGCTTGTATCGCAAATTAGCTATGAATTTAAATGCAAAGAACTCGCCCCAAAAATGTTCTAGATCTTTAAAGTTGACGTTTCGGAGTGCAGCTCTATTGCGAATTTAAAAATCATAAAAATACAAGAAAAAAATAAGAGCAACTTAAATTTACAGAAAAGATGTGAAAACATAATTTGAGAAAAGACATGACAACGGGAAATAATAGATGAAAGACAAACCCATTTGTTACAATTTTACTTGGGTGCGAACTATAGGTGACATTCATACTCGGTTTCCGTATTAAAATATTCAATGATTCTAAGCTTCGTAAGGGAAACAACGGACGTGAAAGGGAATAGAATTTAGTGCAAATCCGCGTAACATTAATGCTTGAAACTTATTTAACTCACGAACCGAAAACAAGCTAATGAAGCAGGTGCTTAAGCAGTCAAAAAACTTTTTTTTTTTAAACAACAACCTCGTGAAAACCCATGAAAATAATTGTTAAGGCAGGGCCATGTAAACGACACAGCCCAAACTAAAAATGTGTCTATAAAACTTGCCAGCACGTTCATAGAACGGGTTTAAACTAACTATTTTATAACAGACATATGGAAGTTGCGGTTAAAACGATTGGTTGGGGGCATTAAACACAGAATTGGTACAGATTTCAATAGTTTCCAATGAATTATATAAGTAAAAAAATATTCCACATCTTCAATAATCTTTTAGCATCCTCTTCTACAATAATCACGGCTTTCACTTTTAATCTAGCTATTAATAAGTTCGTGCTCTAAGCTAGAAAATATACATCACTACTTAAGCTAATTACAATATGCGACTCAATAAGGCATAATTGCGAAGCTGGTGAAACTCAATTTGGTCTTAGCTCTTCTCGTGAGAGCTTCCTGAAATATTTAATCCAGAATGAGACTATACTGTTACTGGATTTTCAAAATTAGGAAAATCAATGCAAATAATAATGCACTATTAAGAATGAAAAATGACTTGTAGAGGCCTAGTAGGGATGTAATGATATATGATTTATCGGTTTTAACCAAAATACAAATATCAATTTCGTCGATTCATCAGTTTCATTTGTACTTTTCAGTATGTTTCATAAATAAATACAAATGTGTGAGCCGAAAAAAGGAACGCACATAAAACAAACAGCTGGTTTTATCTGATACGTCAGTTGCTGGTAAAGGTAATTCATTAATGGTAGAGTTTAATAGCAAGTTGTGACTCGGAGGTTGAGATTAAAGTAGAGTTTCATTATTTAATACGAGGAGCTTGGCGAAGCGTGGACCACATGAAATTTGCAATGAAACTTTAACCTAATTTCGTCGTGTCTGCTAGTGAATAGTTATCAATCATATTAGTATGACCCTCGATAAATATTACGAAGTAAAATTAACGTATCTATTAATGATTTTGTTCAACAGCTTTACCTAAATCGTATTCTATAGTTGTCAAGATGCTCCTTTTCTCAATGCAATGTATAAAGATAATTATCTATCTCTGAATAGCCAATATTTATTTGGAATTCATAATATTGTAGGCATCTATTTTACGTACATCCTGGTAACTTATGAGCCTACGAAGAATATTTTTATATTTAATTTGGGATATCTTCTGCGACTGAATTCTTTCAGTTGGAAGCCCTCGATGAAATTGAAATCCCTCCTCAATCAAATCTCTTTTTAGCCAATCTGGTCGAATGATTTCTTTTAGTTCATGGTCGTGGAAAAAAGTCATCGCTTTCTGCAGAAAAAGACCTGAGAATGGCGAGGACGGGACTGATTTTTATGCCATTGATACACAAAAATGACACTTAGGTTATTGGAAATGTTCTGATCAGACAGAAACAGAAACGAATATTACGTTAAATACTGTATATAAAAATAGAATCAATAATAATCTATTTTAAAACTTACTAGTGATGAATTTAAATAGAATCCCAAGCCTTTTTCTATATTTTATCTGGGACGTATCAAGCCTCATTCTGTATTTTATCTGAGACTCTTATTCAATTAAATTACTAATTTTCATTTTTACACGCTGCAAAAAAGGTTCTGAAGTTGCGTGGGGCTTTTTGGGGTTTAATAGAAGGGGTAATTAGCTTCGCCACCGCCTCGTTTCCCCTTGCACTTTATCCGATGGCTAAATTAATACCTAATAATTACCGTATAAGTTGCCCCGGGTTTCTCTACTGCTAGAGCGTCGCCCAGACGTGCCACGGGGGATGAGATCGCTTCATGTACAAACTGCTATGAAATTGACCGTTCAAAGACTAGGTCTCGATTTTTAATTTGAAATTCAAAAATGTATCGCAGATACAGTGATGAATAATTTTATACTAATCAAAAGCTAAATTTTAGGACTTTAATGTATCCGTACGCAACAGGAAATGCATTCAAAAGAATTAGGTGCTAAATGGTTGTCATTAAGTTCATGGGTACAAAATTTACAGGTGCCAATTTTTTTGTGAAGCAGAGCGACTGCATCGAAAAGGGCATTAGCACTTTATACTTAAGAAATGAAAGTAACCTTATTGTTTTGTGTAGAAATTATGAATAAAATCGTCATATAATCAATGTGAATTATATGAAGGGCTCTAAAAAAAGAATAGACAATGCTCGAAGTAAAAAGCTAATTTTCGTTCTGCTGTAGTTTTTCGTCGAAGGACGAAATGTCGGACGATCATTGAAGTTTTAATGTCGGACGATCATTTCTTTATAAATCCATGTTAGCAATTACTTTAAAATGCATTGTTTTCAATTTAGGTGCGATTTGTAGTTCAAATGAACATTTACAGTTCATTTGTAAATAGTGAATCCTCTTTCAGAATGGAAGTACTTAAGTCAAGAGGTAATTCTGTGATACAGACGGATTTATTTTTTCGAAAACTGTTCTGTCCCTCCTGAAACTATTATAAGGACAATAGCTAGCTGCATTTTCCGTTAAAATTTACGCCCAGTTAACGTTTGTTTGGAACAAGTTGTTCTAAACACGGTGGAAGTTAAAGAAATTAAGATTTAATTTAAGACGAAATCTTACTCCAATGAGTATTTCATTTGGAATTTTGTTTTAAAGCTCGGGAATGCAATTTAACCGTTCGTCATATGTATTGGTAGACATATTAACGTGAATCCAGTTAACTTCAGCAAATTAGTTTTTCCTCTGATTTTCTAGAGAATTCTTCAGAATTCATGGGTACTAACTCAGCAATTTCTTGGAGTGCATAGACATCATTCGGACGACGACTGCCGTTTTTATGTTCGGGACTGCGGCTAGCAGATTATGATCAGCGTAAGCGAGACGGTCCAGGGTAAGCTGCGACAACATTTCCCTCGATTGAATGTTGATCATGATGATTGCTATGGCAAACGTATTGAATGTTTTTACAATTATTCACAAAATTAACAAACAATGCAACTTCTCTTCAAGTTTGCTGTTTTTTAAACAATATAACTGGAAAAAATAACGATGTGCATCGAGAGCCATTAGACGGCCTTATGTTATACTATTTGCTAGATTTTCTCTTAATTTTAACCTACAGTAAAAAATGATCTAGTGGTTGATTGATGAGGCACGTCCAGCCCATGTAAAATAATGCTGAGAATACTTATTATTTGCAAATAAATCAGAGACCGCACGCTGTGCTATCCTGCGACTTGTTACCTCCTCTTATAGTGGCATTATTGTAAATTGAAGGCAGCAAATCACATAATAGACATAATAATTAATAGAGATTCATTGCGTTAACATATTGCAATGGAATAAACATATTAAACATAAACAAATTGCAATCCACGGTTTAAGTGCCAATCAGTGATAAATTTAAACTTTTAAGCCATACAACTGAGCCTTGAACCTCATTTATTCAATGACTGACCGCTTTCAAAGTTCCTTCTGATTCGCTAATTGACTGAAAACTCCGACACTTGGACTAAATATGCGTGAACTTGTTATCGGCTACGAAGTTCTTCAACGAGCGACCATTTGCCTTCATCACTCCCATAAGTTAGAGCAATCGATGGAAGATCACTCATTCCCTGCCACTCGAATGCCATTATAAGGAAACCCGAATAATTTATTCTATCTTGTTGATCAGTATTTCTCATGTCTAAATGTTATAATGAATACGCAACAACCCATCCTCGCCACAAGACTCTATTATTCGTCTAGTTTCAAAAAATAAAGTTCTGCACATTAGAATTAAATTAGGCAAATTTATTTTTACAACCAGAAAGTTAAGCAAAACAGCGGCTTGTCATACGACGAAGCGTTTTTTTGTGTATTAGGGTAACTACATCAGGCATCCGGGCGCACGACGAGTAAGCGACTTTCGTGTAATTTTTGGGGACAAGCTTTTATTGTCTCATGTTAGGGAATTTCTGTAGCAGGCCTATGTAAAATGATGATATTATGAATTTCTGGAGCAGGCCTACGTGATATTCTTATTTTGGATGATATTTCTCATGTAGAAGAAACAAGCACGACCATTTATAATGATAGTGAAGAATTATGCTCACGAGCTGATTACGGACTTGATTAATTTATCACTTTTCGCGATTTCATTTCCCCTGTACCTAGTTTGACGGAAGCTAAGAAATTGCAGCCGAAAATTAAAGAAAATATATCTGAAGACGCTAAATAAGTCATATAGTCAAAAATTAATATTATCACAGTATATATATAGAAAGTTTCCTACATAATTTGCTTGAATAAATTTTCATTTTTTTGGTTCATGAACATCAATCAAGGTACAGAAAAGATCTCGTTTCAAATTTAAGAAACTGATTTTGAAACATGAGACTAGACTGAATAGCATTCTTACATCGTATGTACTATCTGGATATCATTTGGATAATTTTATCCCAAATAATGTTACGGCCATTCATTAATAAATTGTAAACATTTGCTGTTCTTATTTCAGGTTCATATGCTAGGCGACATGGACAAACTGACGTGCAACTTATGGATCGGCCTGGACGTGATCTGCTCGACGTCTTCCATTTTCAGCCTCGTCGCCATTAGTGTGGACAGGTGAGATAAAATCCACATGCAAATTAAAGGAAATGAGATTCGATCCTTCGAGAAAGTTTTGAATTATAGTTCTGTAAGAAGTGTGGGCGGTAGGAGTTTATTTTATTGGCAACTAGGTTACTGACATGTTTACAGATTTGAGGCATGAATTATATCGGTGGTAATTTGATCGAAGCTGTGCGGCTATATTGCAATATTTTGGTTTACCATTTGAACAAGCAAATAATCTTTATTATTTATTGTACTCGAAGTTCCTTCATGTTGATTCGTTTGCGATTTATTTTAAATAACCAGTAACAAAATTTAGTTCGCATAACTTTCAGATTTTAATATTTGCATTCTATGCCGTAATGTTTATATTCAAGATATATATGGCCAGTAAAAATATGACATATGTGAAAGAAATTTTTATCATGGATTTGGAGGCATCTGAAAAATGATCAAATTTGTGGCATTAAAGCTGAAATAATTTACTGTGATCGTTGATTTCATCCGCATGTTTTGAATTAAAGTAAGCTTTCTCATTTTTTCGAGATGAAACATCCTTAAAATTTCAGTAATATGGTTAATATCTTGTATGAAAGGGTCCCGACAAAATGAAAATGTCGCTCAACGCCGGGTCGCAGATCTCTGTGTGAACTCATATGGGGCTAATGTGGACGCCGTTTTATCAACCGCAGCTTATTGCTTTCGAGGAACGAACAAAGTTTCAAAGTTCGCGAAATAAATGGACTCATATTGCAATAACGGGGCAAAGAGAACTGTAACCGATTGAAAGGAAAGCATATCCAGCTTATATGTAGAGGGAGAAGCTTTGAGCTTGGAAGCCTTTGATCTCAATGCTTGGTAAACATTTATAATACAAAAGAAAAGCAGATTGAATGGGTTGGAATCTGTCAAACGACCCTCATAAATACGCACAGTATGCATGCCCTGATACCTTATTTTGTGATGCCTGCAAATGAAGCAAGCAAACACTGAGTAAAATAACAACTCAAGCTCTCAATGTGCAACTCATCCATGCATAGTGACAGAAGCCGTGGAAGAAAACTTGTCGTCGAGTATGAGAAGCTCTTAAAGACGCAAAAAGTATACTTGTGGTCAAAAGTAGGTTCATTTCTGGAATAATAAAACGTTTATATGACGGAACAAAGTTTTGTAACAGATATCGTATTGTAAGAGCATACTCACGAACTGCATAAGTATATTATACAATACTTATAATATATACAACATTTAGATATGGTTATTGTCTACTCTATTACCGCGCTATTTATTCAATGAATCGTAATTAATGATGATTCAACTTCAGCCACAACGATAATGTGTTGACTTTCATCTCAGCTTGAAAAGCGTGATTTAAAATCCCTTAATGCCTTCGCACGGCAGATTTAAATTTTTAACAATTTTCGCAGAATAATCGGGCTGGAATCAATCGTTTGGGAAGAACTGCACCTGAATATAAGGAGAAATTTTGTAAATATTCAGGAACTCGTCAAACGTCTGGTCAAACTCTGTCATTCCTTCGATCGCGGGTAATTTATTTGTGAATTTTTTTCCTGGAGGCGCAACAGATGTCGGCTGATGCAGTGCCCAGAATTGCAAAAAATCCCTGATGCAGGAAAGATTCATGACCAGAACCTGGCGCTTGGTATACTTTACGAAAGCTCTGTATTAAATGAGGTTCAATATACGTTGAAGTGAAACTGTAGGATTAAATGATCAAACATTGGATGAAGGTTAATATTTCCGTGGGTAGGAAAATGTATGCCCGCTAAACAGGTAGGTGAGATATTATTTAGCGAAAATTCAGGCGAATATTCGAATTACATATCATTTTACAAAAATCTCAATGCATAAATTCTAAAAAATACGAAAATAATTACATGAATAATATTGGACAGATTTTCAGTTGTATTTATTCTTTTGGTAATGTTGATGCACCATTTTGTTCGAAGTTTAGTGCCATTGAAAGCAATTCATTTAAATGCTGTATAGGTGAGAGCTCGTGATTCACGCTACTATACGAGGGACTTCGTGTCTGAATAATAGAAATTAGATTTTTTTTCGTTAATTGTCCAGTTTGTAAGCCATGGGGCCCCAAGAGACCAGCTGCGTTTTTTATTTTTATTCATTTATCCTTTTGTTTTGTGTTACTCAGATGCATTTCAAATGTGTACCCTGACCCACAGATATTTTCTGTTTTTTTTTTTTGCATGGTAGTTTTGTTTCGTATCTTAAGTAACATAATAACAACTCCTTTTCTTATTATTATGTATTTTTTACAGTATTTAGATCTTAATTATTAACCAGGTATCATCAGCAGTGCATTCTAATAAATTTATCAAATTACATACAAGATGCCATGAAGTGGCGTTGCAGATTTTGAATTACGGATATTACCTTATTTACCTTTGAATATGAGTCCTGCATATGCTAAATAAAACGTAAATTCTTGTCAAGAAAACTTCTATCAAATCTGCATCAGCATATCCCTACATCCGAAACCCTGATTGCACGCAAGAATATCAGAAAATATTTACGCAATTCAGAAGGCATTCAGTCGGCGTCACGACCAGCACTAGAATTTTACGCCGCGGCTTCCGTGTTTACGGCGAGACATAAAAAATGTGACGCGCCTCACTGAACACACACATGAAAAGCATCGCATCTTCCTTTACCTGTTCACGAATTTATTTCAGCTTAAAACTTCTGTCGCCGTCCATTTCTGTTGATGAGAGGTGCGAATTTCATGAAATTAAATAATTCCTTTATAGGAATATTGTGGCGGTGCGCTACGTAAAATGATTTAGGAGCGTCGACAAGTTTTAAATGTATTCCTAAATATAATTTGCAATAAATGATTTAAGTTTATGAGGCTCATATTAAAGTATGAGTGTACATTCATGAAAAAATGTATTTCTTGAATGCTAAAAACAGGTGAAACTCCAATGGAAACGCTAAAATCTTTCATCTTTATTCAGACCGAAGTGTCAGTACGCAGTCAACCTTGAAATATAGACGTCAGAAATGCAGCTCGATTTTCCACTATTTCTGAAAGGCAAATCTGGCGAGAGTTTTGACGCGAGAAGTCATTGCGGAAAAGCCGTCTATCGGGGAAAGTTTGCCGCGTTACTGCAGCAGAGTTTTGCGCTGCTCTCGATGCCCTCTGCGAGCTTTATAGAACCTCGTTGTCATGCACGCTCGCGGCCAACGCGTAGCAGCAAAGGCAGGCCTGCAAATGGATTGCAATGAGCTGAACAGATGGCCGTCTTAGACGAGCCTTATGGTTCGAGGAGGCTGACTCTCGGCACCACTTCAAGTGCCACGAAAAATGTTTCCGTGACGAGATAAATTGAGTATTTTACATACCAGGCATTGAATAACATGTAATCATACTGAAAATTTTTATTTTAAACTCTTGAGACCACCGCAAGCGTAAAGTGTTAATTTCAAATTTTAAATTCATTATTCTTGAGCTTGCAGCAGTTATGAGAAAAGCAAAGTAAATAATTAATAATCAAAATTATGATTGTATACTTCCAGAATTTATCGTCACAATTTCACCGTAAAAACAGTAGACTTCACGGCTTAAATTTGAATGAAATAAAAAAAATTACAGGCAGAATTGAAGTATTATTACTTTTCCCTGCAGATACGTATCCGTGACCGTGCCGATACGTTTTATTGTTTTCACCTGCAGATACATCGCCGTGACAAAGCCGATACGTTTTATTGTTTTCACCTGCAAATACACCGCCGTGATTAAACCGATACGTTTTATTTTTTTCACCTGCAGATACATCGCCGTGACTAAGCCGATACGCTTCATTATTTCACCTGCAGATACATAGCCTTGACAAAGCCGATACGTTTTATTGTTTTCACCTGCAGATTCATCGCCGTGACTAAGCCAATACGCTTTATTGTTTTCACCTGCAGATACATCGCCGTGACTAAGCCGATACGCTTCATTATTTCACCTACAGATACATCGCCGTGACTATGCCGAATACGTTTTATTGTTTTCACCTGCAGATACATCGCCGTGACTAAGCCGATACGTTTTATTGTTTTCACCTGCAGATACATCGCCGTAACTAAGCCGATACGTTTTATTGTTTTCACCTGCAGATACATCGCCGTAACTAAGCCGATACGTTTTATTGTTTTCACCTGCAGATACATCGCCGTGACTAAGCCGATACGTTTTATTGTTTTCGCCTGCAGATACATCGCCGTGACTAAGCCGATAGCGTACATCCAGCACAAGAAGGAGGGAAGGATCATCACTACCATCGTACTCATCTGGGTGACGTCATCAATGATCGGCGTGCCTGCGATGATCATCAATGATCCCCAGAAGAGCGAAGACCCCCAGACGGTCGGCGAGCCTCAGGAGGGCGACTGCGGCTTCTCCGAGCACGAGTTCGTGATCGTGTCGTCGATATTCTCTTTCTTCCTACCGTGCTTCGTCATGATATATCTCTACTTTGAGATTTTTAAGGTGAGTAGTGAACTTCAAATAATCTAGACTCTTTTTTATGTTTCATGCCTTGGTTAAAATAACAAGTTTCAGAGAAATTACAATAAAAGTTGTATTCTGTCTCTATGAAACGTTTGGCCATTATTTATCTACTCATATTACCAGAAATGTTTTAGACGAGAAATCTAACCTTAAAAACATATAAATGGGTTCTGTAAATAATTTTTTCATGTTTTGTGGTTGTTTAACCGAACTTCAGTCGACATCCGATACTTGATAGTTGCTTGGTCATCTTCTAATATTTCCATGCATTCAAAGGGAAGATGATATCATTTGAAAAATCGTTTATAGCTTTTCGGGTTGAGTTTAGTTGTTTTGTTTTCTTAAGGCGGCCAGTAAGAAATATTAATTGCTTTCTCACCAGGCTTGAACAACAGCTACAAGTGTATGCAAAAACTGTGATCTTTTTTTTTCATTTAAAATGGATTCATTTTTTTTACATTTGTATAATATAAAATAATTACTAACAAATAATTCTTCGCAATTTCGAATTACAAAAATATCGTTATTATTTTACGATAATAAGTAAATAATTATGTCTCTGAAGAAATGATTCACATCAACTAACTGGCATAACGTGAAAAAATTGTAAACCTCAGGCAATCCGAGACCGCGCCAAGAAGACCGTGACGAAGCGTCCCCGACAGAACCAGACGCTGCCCCCAGACGTGCTTAACACCACCGTCATCGAGAACGTCGCGCAGACACGCAGGCTCAACGAAGTTCAGCTTAGCGAAATGCAACGGAGCTCCACAGTCGACATCAAAAACACGGATGTTAATGAAGACAGCCTGCAGATACCTGATAACCTCGTTGATGAAGATCGGCCTACGAATAACACATCTAATAGCCAGGTGAATAACTCCAACGAAAAGCATAATTTTCGTGTGACTGGCTGACAATCGCCTGTAATATTCAGGTGAATATGTCTACCAGCACATCCAGTATTCACATGATTACTGTATAAGCCTATAAACCCTTTCAGTATGCTTGTTTGTAGGCCTATCAAAACCTACAGTTTAACGTGCGTAGGCACACTATCACCTTCAGTATTCACGTGCATACGGCATGTCAACACGATCGAAATTTGCGTGCATGGGCCTACTACCCGGTCCAGTATTCTCGTGCATTATGTTTAGGCCTACCAAACGTGTATATTTTGCACGTCCATAGGTCTGCAAACAACTCCAGTATTCAATACATTGTCGTAGTAACGATAGTTAACAGAACGTCAGGTAATTTGTTTGTTAACAGAATTTGTTAGTTAAGCTCTGGACAAGCTTTCTTAGCAAATTTTCTCTCTGGTCAGTAGCGACGAATTAAAAGAAATACATCTTGTAAATTTGTTGATAAAAAGTGATGGTAATCTTATCCACTCTATTGTGTGAACATTATTCACAATTTCGGTGAAAATTGAATGAATAATATATATTCTCAATTCTATTGGCAATTTAGCAATGATGTTCACTCCTATGTAAATCATGGATGTTCTCGTGCCCAGGAGGACGACTTCGAAGACGAAGAAGCAGTTTTGTCAGGCGAAGACAACTGCTACGTCATCGAAAACCCTAAATCTGAAGAAGTCGTGCCAATCAAGGAAGAAAAAAGGTTGGTGCAAACTACGGACACTTTTATTATTCACATTTGGATAGATTTTTAATAGATTACGAGTTCTTAAATTTGGATACAAATTGTAGAATTTGTTGCAATTAAAATAATTTGCAGGAGTAAAATTTTTACTTATATTAATGAGTATGCATAATTTGAGTAGTTATAAGGACAAAACTGAAGAGATTTATCATGAACCTAATTACCGAACAGAAAAACAGAAATTTATGCTTAAATAGGATGATTATTAAATTTTGCTGCAGAACTTACAACTAGATAAGCTCTAGTGCGAAATAAATACTTATCACGGAAGGCAAAGCACGCAGGCCAACACGACTCTGCTCGGCAGGACGGCATTCTTTTACGATAGGTTACTTAACATCTTTAATAGGTATCACCTGGGGAACTAATTTCATTTTTTTATCCGCTATAACAAGCGTAATAGGAATCCGTGGTAAATTTGCACACAAGTGAGTTCAATGTAAAATAATTGACAAAGAATTACCCTTCGTGACCAGTGACAGCAGCGACTATATAATTGAAAATAGTAACAGCAGCGACAATAATCGACAAAAAATTACCCCACTCACCAGTGACAGCAGCGGTGGTACCTCAGGGGGCAGCGCTGCGTCCAAGAACGGAGTGGCTGTTGGGGAGGAGGGCAAGCCTTCGAGAGGGGAACGCAGCGCGGGACCGAGGCAGGCCCTCGTGCTGCACCACAATAAGAGGGTCTTGGTGAGTCTAGGCTTGTGTCAAGCATTGTTTACATAAAATAAATTAGATTTACACGCATTGGAAGATCTGATATATCACTCTTGTTTTTTCATTTATTTCATGGAAACAAATGTTAAACTATTTTGTGTTCAGTTAAATGTCGTAAGCGTGCGACGCTAATAATCGTAGCTTTCGCCCAGCTTTAGATACATCACTCTAAACTTTTCATTCAATTCATGTGATCAAAATTTGAACTATTTTGTGATTAGATAAATGCCGCAAGCCTACGACGCCAATAATTGTAGCTGTCCCCCAAGTTTTAGTTTAATTTGCCCCTATAGCGCAAACTTTTTGGGACGTAGGTACAGTATGTCCTCCGATCAATTGTGTACAATACGTTCATGTTTGTTCCTGAAAATTATGTCATTCATTGTATAACCTGCCTAAAACTACGTAAAGTAAGTCTTAGTAGTGGTCTTGTTACGAATGTAAATAAAAAATTCATTCATCCTACACTTATGCATTGTGTCTTCAATAGGGGAATTGTGCCCCATTGAAGTTAGGGATGAACGAAATACATAATTAATCAGCACCGATGTTAGTCACGAAACCTGTACTCTTAACTCGGAACTTATTTACAAAGCTTTAGGTAAGAAACTTTTCGCAGTGAGAACAGTATAGTGTTGGGTACCACCAGGTTCGCATGAACTGTTGTCATAAATAAAAGTCTTTTCTGGTCAACATATACTTTAAATCTTACACCACAACACAGATATAAAAATGGGCAAGGTTACATAGTCCGTTGAGACTATCTGGATCAAGACATATACTGGCAGAATAGAGGCATCCTTACTCTCCGCTCTCTCAAATCCGAGAACTTCGTTCGTACACCACCCGTCAGCAAAGCTACAATTCTTTCTAAAGTAATCTTACAAATTTACATCCTAATTAAAATACATCCTTTTCCTACACACTGCACATCAAGATAATACACATTGTTGACCCTTAATAATTAACCAAGCCCTCTTCAATAGATATGACGAAAGAGATTGTATGTGCTTATAAGGTATAAGAGTGTTGGACAAATTTTGCACCCAATTGGCTGTGATGCGGAGATCACTGAGCATGTTGGGCAGACGTTACACTAACTTTGCTGCAATTATGAACATTATAGGCAGACTCTGTACCCACTTGGTCGTAACGTTGAGACCACTGAGTGTGTAGTGTCGGGAAGTCGCTGGACTCACTTGGCTGTGATGTCTTGACCACTGAGTGTGTCGGGTAAACACTGCGCCCGCTACTTCAAGATTTTAGATTCAATACTCTTTATTCCCGTAGTTTTTCCGTAATATGATAGGACAAACCTAAACCGTTAAAGCAATTATTCAAGACAGTGCAAACGTAAAACAAAACGTTTAAGTATGAATAAGTGTAAGTCTGCTTTAAATCAACTATTCGAGTGTGCGGATGTTTATTAATAGGGAATTCTCAAGTTCCTCTTTCGTTAAGTTTTTAATTGAAAACCAAAATTTAACAGATCATTAGAGTTCGGCATGATCGGTTCGAAGCGCTAAAATGAATAAACTATTTGGGTCATCTGTTGACTATTGATTGCAGGTGATGATTGCAATTTAAAGTTCGATTTGTTATGCACCAGAAACCTTTTAACTTTGTGTAAGCTGGATTGTTGCAACAAATATCATCTGAAATGATTGTATGAGATAACCTGGAAAAACTTATTTTCATAAACTTTGATAAGCATCAAAGCAATTTTCCGCATTATGGTAGCACATACTGAAAACTTAACAGTTATAAAAACGGAGCTGTTTAATAAAATTTCAGAAAAGGTTGATGCTTCTAGTTTCAATCTTCAACGTTTAACTATCTTCATCTATTCGAGATAAGAAAAATAACGAAGACTATGAGGTCGGTGAGCAAATATCCATTAACAGCATTCATTTTATTAAGAATGAAAGTGTTGCGCTTTGAAGCCAATGTTCGATTACTGAAGCCACAAGTCAGTGAGGAACAAAACTTTGAGCGACCAGCCCTAGTCACTAAACGTTATAAAGAGACTCCAGCTGATCACTAATATATACCACCTGAACGTGATCTCATCATGAGGGATCGATGAATTTTCTCAATAATGTGTGGATGGTGATCCGACAGATCAGGCAGGATCGCAACGGCTCGGGAGGCTCGGCAGCTTGCAGCGAGGGCGCTACGAGGGCACTCAGCAGCGCTGCGTCCGAGGGTAGACGCGACCAAGAAACTGGTGATTTACTAAGCAAGAAAGAGCGCAAGGCAGCCGCTGCTAGGTTCACCATTTATAAAGTTAATAAGGCCAGTAAGAAGAAGAGGGAGAAATCTTCAGCAAGAAAGGAAAGGAAGACCACCATAACCCTGGCTGTGGTGCTTGGTGAGTTGGCAATATGTAATTTATTGAAAATTATCCGCGAAAACTTTGTTGAATTACAAAACCTGAAGAAACACAATGGGATAAATATTTGTAGTTCCAACAACAGTATTATATTCGGATAAGTCCGTACGCTCACATATTATGAAAAAAACTCTTTGGACTTCAAAAAACGACTTCAAGAGATAAAGAATTAGATTCAAATCGATAAAATACAAAATTACCTGTAACATATTTTCCTCAAGATTTTTATGCGAAGTTTCGCGTAGTTATTCTGACAAAAATGGTTGTAATTCCATTTGCAACAGTCATGCTTAATTTTCAAGAGAATCAGCTGTAAGACAATATTTTCATGGCTGATTCACAGACGTAACGAATTTGTATAAAAAAAGCTACAATATGTATTACTTTTCTCTTCTAGGAGTATTTTTGCTGTGCTGGGCTCCGTTCTTCGTATGGAACAGCGTGGCCGCCTGGTACAAGGTCTTCGATAAGTCCAACTCCAGTAGTGTGTTCGATGAGGGCGCCCCGTTCCTCATCACCACATGGATCGGTTACATAAATTCTTTCCTCAACCCTGTCATTTATACCATCTTCAATCCCGAGTTCCGGAAAGCGTTTGAGAAAATATTGACGGGTTGCTGTAGCCCGTAAATAAAATCGATGATCCAAACCTGCTCTGCGATCTGTCTGTTTATTTTTCAGTCTTCTCATTAATTGACCTGAGAGTTTTTTGATAAGATTTGATGTCGCGCATTCGATGTTTCAGTTTTCTATAATAATCAACGAAATGCTTTTTGAGCCAAGAAAATTAATTATAGATGGTCTGGCGCTTACTGTTAAATTTGCTTCCCTGCAATATCTTTCTTATGAAATTCATATTGCCTCCAATGTTCGGCAGAATAAAGCTATCGAAGAACGTCTTTGAATATAGTTCTGGTACAAATTGCAAATTGGGCAAATCCCTTGATTATTATTCATTATCTTCATCTTCATTAAGTTTGATGTCGTTTACGGTCATTTATTTTCTTAATTTTTCAAATTACCCCGAGTATGTCATGTGCACATTATTTTGATCGACCTTAGAAATTATTTTCATCGTTGTCAGAACCATGAGCAAATGGACGAAAAAATACTGAATATTCCAAACTTAGGTACTATATAGTGGCTGTTTATCAATAATTACTAGCGATTATTTCTGCCGTTGGACCAGGACAATGTTAATCAAGTCTGATTTTTTTCACTGCAACGTAATGTAACTACAAGTTGGAGTCTGATCTTCATTTAAAAAAAAATGAATCCGCTCCACAATTTTTTAAGTTTATTTCGATAAAGTCTGGAACTACTTCTCATCCTTTCTTCCTCATAGATTTTTTATTCCAAGGGAAAAATCAAAGGTCTTCAAAGTTTAGAAAATTTATAATTTTCTCATAAGAATTAAATACAACTACTGACTGCCAGCAAAAATAACCTTATCATAATGGCATTTCTGTCCATTATTACATTTCCGCTTCGTAAAGTTAGCTCTATTGAAATTTTCGAATTTCAAAGTTTCTCAGGCAAAGTTTTGGAGCTTTTGAAATATTTAAATCCATTGGCTTTCTCATAGTACGGTTGCCTCTTATTTTCACATTATTTTTCTCAATTAGTAAATCCCCTCTTCTACCCTCATCGTCACTCACAACGACCCAAAATACAAAATTCAACATTAACCTTCGCTGGTAAACTAAAAATCATGTCCACTTTGTTGTGCGCCCGACTAAACACGATTCGGCCACACGTTGTTGCAAATTTTCCCTCGAAATTAATAATTTTGACCGTCTTCCATAATACTGACAAAATAAATTGTTTTTGTAAACCCCATGTATTACCTAAACCCATTATCGTCCGTAGTACGCATAGAATTTGCAGAAGATCTCTATGCAATTTATTTTAATGAGACAGTATTCACTTTAAGCGTATTTGTAAACTTTTTGAAGAGAGACAAAGAATATCATCATAACTCACGGAAATGATGATACTCTATGTTAGTGTACATAATTGTGTTGATTTATGAAAATTTTGTAAGGCTGTTACATATTGTATATAAGAAGTTTAAATAGAGGAGAATATTTAAAACGTAGAATAATATTATATCAGCATACGAAGTTTCCTTGCCACAAGAGTTCATGGAAATGCTGACCAAAAGCGACAACTTCTCGTTGAAAGTTATTTGTACGACAAATTTCCCTATTTTATGCTCGAATGAAACTCAGTCAGTTTTTTGCCATCATAGTAGAACAAATCGAGTTAAAAAATCGAGTTTTATATAGTTTTGAATCGTTCCTCCCAGACGCTGCTCAGTTCAGACTGTAATATGTTTCAATAATTATAATATTCCCAGGGTTTCCTGAAAACTTCCGCGTAAACCTACCATCATTATGCTCACTCAGATTACTCACCGAAAGCAAATTTTTTAGAAGGAGTGTAAAGTCTTCGACTACATATTTTAATTCACTATATATTTAATATGCAGTATTTGGATGACTTATCTGAACGCCGGCAACCTTCTAGTGAACCTAGACGATTTTTTGCTGGAATTCACTTGTTGATGAGTGCACCTAAAAAAGCAACCCAGTAATTAATGCCTTCTGTGGGATGAGGAAAACCTAAAAATAAAATTAAATGAAAATTTTACAATCCGTGAAAATTTCTATTGTTTATTTAAATTCGTCGTTTATTTTCGGTAGTTTCCCAGGAATAATTCGTTTAATTATATATGTACATGAAATGACTAGAGCGGAGGAGCACTATATTTGTGATAAGAGGTTCCGATAAGATTATTTGAATAATATATAACGGGTATAAATAATATCTAATGCAGCGGATTACTATAGCCATTTGCGTCGAGATAGTCTCGCTTCTGGTCGCCATTTCTGTCACTCGCGAGCCCCGAGGATTGTCTGGCTGGGAGAGCTACGTTAATATATTCTGTGTGGTTATCCAAGCAACACAGTTAATGCAATTCAATCGAGCGTTCTGCTACGGCAAATGTTCATTTAGGAAAATTTTATGTGATGCACTCACTTATGCCTCAATTTTGTAATTTTTTGTTACCTGATCAGAGCTCCAGAATGTGAGGTTTTGTTCCAGTTGCGTAAGTCAAAGAATTTTTTTGTGTAATAAATAAATTATCTTGTGTAATAAATATTCACCATTTTATCCTTCTCAAGGCTGGAAATAAAGGATAATTAATTTAACTTCAACTCAGTGCAAACATTACGGTAACAATTGAGAAGTTTCTTAAACTGATTCTCTCATTTCATCGAACAGTGAAAATGTTTCAAATCATAAAGCATAGGCTGAAGAAAAGGAATCTAACGAGACTACAGTCTACTGTAAAATCTTCTTCAGATAAAGCTGGAAAATACTTCTTAGTTTTTTCTCAGTCTGCACTCATTCTACCCTCAATCTACACTTCTTATCACTCTTCTGAGTCTTCTCTCAATCTACGCTCAGTCTATCCCTTTTCTCAGCCACTGTCCACTGTAGTTTCCACCAGATCAAGACGGAAGATTCTTCACAGTTTAGCATTAATAATTCAATTCATCTTATTTGTGGATTGCATCAGAAGGCAGATGAAGAAGATCGTCATTCCTGCTGAGTCATGGAAGTAATTTATTGAAATAGTTCCCCAGGGTATTTTTATATTGAATGGTGGAAACAAAAATTAAAAAAAAATTGAATGACATATATTGTGCCATGTGGTTATAAAGCCATGGGTATGGTTTTAAAACCACGAAAAACCCTTGACTTGATAATTTTGTGTGTAATTCAAGAATCTACGCTCCCCGCCTATTATTTTCAATATTAACATTAATAATTAGCAATATCATTATAATGTTAACCGCAAGGAAACAAATCTATTATTAACAAAGAGAAGAATGTTTCAAAGAATTGTGGATACATTCAAACATATTTTTGTTGCAGCAGTTTCCCGGACGCAAATAAACCTTTTGCGTGGTTCAGCCACAGCAGAGTTTTATCATCTAAACTCATGCCATCATTAAAATCATTAAATCTTTCGCGATGAGAAACCCGAGTGAACCGTCTCGAGAATAAAACTCTGCGTGAGCTAATGAAGAAGCCCTGAATGTGGCAGAGTAATCAATGGAACTTTTTAGGATTGCATCACATTAGGGCAACGCAAAATTCTCAAATCGACCTGATATTTCAAAAAAATTATTCGGCTGCCATCTCGTGTGTAGCGGCGACCGTGCGCATCCGTCCTGTAATCGGCTTAAGCAAGACTAATCGACTTGGGCTGCAGTAGATTCTCCTACAATCTCACTTGATTTACAGAGGATCACTTACCAATATGTCATTCTAGACCCTAACGTAACTTCTCTGAAGGTCTGTGACATTCGTCTAATTGCTTTGAAACTTAATGGATTTATTCAAAGTTTCCAGTGATTAACTCCCTAGATTCAGAGTACTCAGGTCATCTAATTTATAATGATCTCTCACCCCTTGCGACATCCGCAACTTTCGAATATAGTCAATTTCAATTTTAATGCGTCTCAATCGAAATCAGAATATGTTTGTCAGCTGGAATTCATTACGTAAATCACGGGTATTTAATTCAAGGAGATTGAAATTCTTAAATAGGCACTTGGAATATTATTATTCTCCGAATCACTTATCATGGCATCTGTTTCAAACGAACTTCGAGAGCACGTTGCACATAAGTTTAATAGGAAAACAAATAGACACGACAAAGAATGAGAATGGATAAAATTGACTAAGCACTTGATTTATAGGCTCTACGAAAAAGTTCCGTCTTAGGCGTCGACGAAACACCTGCAACGAAGACGCCGACGTTACGGAACGGAGCCGATGTGCAGACCTATGCGTCCACGAAACACTTGCTACGAAGGAGCCGACGTTACGGAACGAAGCCGATGTGCAGACTGTTCCAGGTTCTGGCGGCAGCGACCTGTCGCCAACGGTGGATAGACGTGTATATGGCCCGCTGTTAATGACCAACACAGTCGTCTTCTATAAGAATATCCGACACGCGCTGCAGACATTAAGGGAGATAAGGAGGCGCCAGACCGTGAAGGCATACGAATGTCAGAACAGCGACCTTGAACTGCGTGCGCTGCTGTATGCGTAGCCAGTTGTGAGGGATCCGCCCCAGGTTCATGGTTGTTTATATCCTTTGGATAATAACGTGTCACTTGATCCTTAGTGCGTATACAGTATATTTAACAGAATTGGGTCACGATCCAGACTCCTTGTAAGAAATAATAAATCTAAAATGAATAAAAGATAAGACAAATTGGATAACTAATATATATACAGGTTAACTCCTACTGATCAATATATACAAAAGCTTGCTAGAATATTTGTACACTAAATAAATGACAAACCGGATGACACGACAGAGTATTAACAAATACTAATTGACACGACACACATACACATCTTGCCAGTGTGGGTTCTGGGACAGTAATGGACATTAATAAAAACCAATTCTCCGGATGTAGGCTACGGATATCTCTAGATATACAAAAAAATTACAAAAAAAATCTATACGTACAACATATACAAAATCTGTTCGTTAATAAATGAACAAAATCAGTAATAACAAATACAAAAAATCTTCTTCTTATAAAACAAATACAACAATCTATACGACACAAAAAATCATATACAAAATCTACACAAAAAATGAATACA